CTAGTGCTAATTTAGTACAACGATTCTGGTGGCCTAACATGCTAGACGAAGCAAAGAAGTACGTACAGACCTGTCAGGTCTGTCAGCGGGACAAGGCACGGACTCAAACTCTCCTTGGGTTGCTCAAGCCTCTACCCATTCCTGCTGGCCCAGGGCAGAGCATCTCCATGGACTTCATGGATACTCTCGTGACCAGCAAGAATGGCAAGCGGCACATCTTCGTCATAGTTGATAGGTTTACTAAGTTCGCTAGACTAATTGCCATGCCAGAGACCGCCAGGACCAAACACGTCATTAAGTTATTCATGGATAACTGGGTGCGTGATTTCGGGCTACCAAAGACAATCGTTAGTGATAGAGATGTGCGATTCACCAGCGAGATGTGGAAGAAGGCCGCTGAACAGATGGGCAGCCAGCTTCAGATGACTTCTGGGAATCATCCCGAAGCAAATGGGCAGGCTGAACAGATGAACCGTGTGGTGCAGCATCTGCTGAGGCATCACATCAAGCCTAGCCAGGATGACTGGGATGAGAAGTTAACTCTCATCGCCAGTCCGTACAATAACGCTGTACACAGCACCACCGGGGTCACCCCAAATCAGCTGCATCTGGGATGGAAGCCTAGATCTGCTCTAGACTTCCTCCTGCCTGAAAACTGAACTGCTTCCACTCCTGGAACCATTGAATTTGGTGTCCAGTACGAGAAATTGTTGCAGCAGACTGTCGAACACATCAAGAAATCTCAGGAAGCCATGATTGCCTCTGAGAATAAGAAACACCGACAGTCCACATTTCAGGTAGGGGAATGTGTCTGGGTCAAGGCTAGTGAGTTGGGACAGGAGTTTGGCATCTCTAGGAAACTAAGGACTCATCATTTCGGTCCCTGGGAAGTCTTGGATATTGTGGGGAATGATTTGGATGGTCCCTCGTACGTCATTCGTATCCCTGGTCACCTACACGCTCACCCTGTTTTTCACGCCTCTAAGCTTGCACCTTTCACTGAGGCAGCACAGTTCCCATTACGGAGATCTATGCTGCCCCCAACCATGGATGGCCACGTGGACGTCGACGATATCCTGGATCACAGAGACACGCCTGTTCCCAAGCCACCCGGCAGGGGAAGACCTCCTAAACCTGCAAGGGAATACAGAGTACATTTCAGGCATCATACTGATCCCAAGGAAGATCGATGGATTTCAAGGGAGGAACTTGTCAAGACAGCTCCTCAGATCGTGGCAGATTATGAGAAGAAACTGAAGGGGAAGGCACTAGCATGAAGCATCTCAGCGGACTTTCGAAGCTAAGGGGGATGGAATGTGAAGAACGAGTCCTCAAGGGCCCCTATCGGACATCATTTGTTCTGGGCTAAGGCCCCAGCAAGCTGAGTGCCCGCCCTAAGTGAAGGCGGGCCTGAATATTCGTCAAAGGCCAAAATTCGACATTTCCATATGTGGGTATTCGGGCTTTCGCAGCATGCCAGTTGGGTAGACGCGTGAGCCTCACTAAGCTGCGTCATACAGTTGGCCCAGACCTTGACAGTTGCGCCTGGGCACATACACACAAAGCAGGGCCGATACATTGGGAAGCAGGCCATCGGCCTTTGTAAAAGCATTACTGCCGATGCACCTACCTGGGAGCCCTGCACGGATGCAGCAAACAGCCCAAGTCCGGAGACTCAGGCCGTGCCCAACTGAAAAGGGCCCAGGCCCTCAACTGTAGGTCCGACCTGGGCTCAGGGGCTGAGCCCAACCGGAAGTTACTGGAAGTTTCCAGCCAGGCCACACGCAGCATCCAGGAGGCTGCCACTTCGATAAAAGAAGTGAGGCAGCCTAGGCCAGGATGCTGGCCAGTGCAGGCAATGCGGAAGTGCTGCTGCGCTATCGCTTGATGCTCCG